GCTCCAGGCATAGTGCTTAACATAACTCAAAATTTAGGCTGGGTTTCTAATTACATGCTTTGGAATTTCAGAATATTAATATTAATACTGGCTTTTTCAAAAGAGGCCCCTCTAATTATACAAGACAAACTTGATGGTTGAATCTGTCAAAAATGCTAAATGAAAAAAGTGATGCCCAGGAAGATTTCTGCCTAAAATCTCTTTGGAGAGTCACAGTGATGGAGTGGTGAGAATACTGAGCTAGGACTGGGAAGATCCATAAAGCCCAATGGGTGATTTTGGGATAGTCACTGACTGTCAGCCATACCCTCCTGCAAAGATAAAATGGAGGGAAAGAGCATTCAGTTTTCACACAAACATTTCTAATGTACTCAGAAAACATTGTTGTTCCTTCACTGTTTCAGCACTTCTTTTCACAGATTTGTTCCTCCCAGTATTATAATGTTTAGCCCACTCCTTTGCCCAGAAATTAATACTGGGTTGTACCTAGAAGTGGCCTTCTGTTCACAAGGAGCCATAAACAGGCAGAGCAGCAAACACCAATTTAAACATAAGGTTTGGCTGTGCAACTTCTTTTGCAAGCAGAAGCATCTGAAGTGCCACAGAACCTACCTATTACAACACTGAATGAACTTTGCAGAATTGCACTGTTAGCTATTTTCCTTCAGCTCCAGTTCTCTCGCTCAAACCCTACAGTTTAACCCACACCTCTTGCAACCAACCCAACAGCCAAATTCAATTTCAGAAAAACTCTTGAAGCCCATATTCTACCATAAGTAGGGCCAACAGCAGAAGAAGCTGGGTCAAACATGCCAATGTGTTTTATCTTATAAGGTCTGCTGCATGTAACTAAGCCTCAGATAAGCAATTTCATCCTTTTAGAATGGGGAGAATGTTGTACAAAGGCTAAAAATTCACCAAATGATTGTAGTTGAGAAAAGGTAGCATGTCTACCTGGGGGACCCCAGGGGCCAGAGGTTTTGTCACTCCTGCTCTATAGTTTCAGTTTGCACATATACCAATCAGATTACAAACACTGTTAAGTCTAGCCACAAAACTACGAAGAAGCAGATACAACTATGAAGCAGCTGCAATTTAATTGTTGCTTTAAACTACAAAGTGTTTCTAAATGTCATTTCCTATATGCAAACAACATCAACATGTGTAACCAAAGAACCCAGAAATGTTGGGATCACTGTGCTAGACTATAACATAGAAGTTAGCTCAAAGTCAAAAGCATTAGGAAGGAATAATATAAGTTTCATTTTACCACTATGCATTACCAAAGGAAGAATGATGGATTATTATACCAACCACAAACTTTGGACTAATAGACTTTTCCTAACAACCATGGCAGAGCAAGAGAAAAATAGAGGTATGATCTGTAATGGCACTAGGGAAGTGGTGGGGCAGTCTCTGAAAGGTAGGTCCCTATTAATTCTCCTGGACCTCTCAGCAGCTTTCAATATCATGGGCCATAGTATCCTTCTGGAGAGTTGGGCCGGAACAGGATTTGGTGGCTCCACTCTGCGATAACTTCACTTCTATTTGACCGACCATCTCTAGATGGTGGTGCTGGGGGACTTTTGCTGTGTGCCATGGGGTCCCACAGGGCTCTATTATGTCCCCCATGCTTTTCAACATCTACATGAAACTGCTGGGAGAGGTCATCAGGAGGTTTGAGCTAATGACACTCAACTCTTCCTCTTCTTTTCATCAAATCCAAGCATGCCAGCCTCTGTTCTTGACCAGTGCTTGGGCTCAGTAATGGACTGGATGCAGGCCAATAAAGCTGAAGCTCAATCCAGGTAAGACTAAGGTAGAGTTAGAGAGGAATCTATCCAACTGGGGAATTTTCAACCTGTTCTGGATGAGGTTGTGCTCCCACTGAAGGACAAGGTTCACAGCCTCAGTGTGCTCCTGGATCCCAAGTTGTCACTTGCTGCTCCAGTGGACTAGGTAGCTAGCAGTATTTTTTACCAGCTTTGGCTGGTATATCAGCCGTGTGAGTGGAACCTTGCTATAGTTATCCATGCACTGGTAACCTTAAGCCTGCATTATCACAATGAGTTTTTTGTGGGGCTACCCTTGAAAATGGTTTGAACACTGCAACTTGTCCAAAATCAGGCAGCACACCTGTTAACCAGGATGGGTAACCATGAACATATTACTCCAGTCCTGCACAGGCTACATTGGCTGCCAGTTGTTGTCCAGACCTGATTCAAGGTGCTTAGAGTAACATATAAAGCCCTAAAAGGGTATCTGAGGGAATGCCTATCTCCATGTGTACCAACCCAATCAATGAGCTCGTCATCAGGGAGCCTTTTCCATATTCCTCCTCCCAGTAAAGTTAAAGGGGAGATGGCAAGGAAAAGGAACATTTCCATGATAGCACCTCAATTCTGGAATTTTCTCCCATCTGAGATTCAGCTGGGAACCTACTCTTTACATCTTTAGGTGTCAGTTAAAAATATAAGCACAGTCCAATTTTCCTGTTTTCAGATTAGGAAAAAAGAGTTGTTTAAAAAAAACTTTCCTCATTTAACATACACACTTTTGTTACAAAAGAAAACTTTACCTTTGTGCCTATTCAGGAAAAGTACTAAGAATGCTCACTGCTTGCAACTAGGATAGAACATTCATGAAGTCCTGGTGTGGTCTGAGCAGCCACCCTGGCTCCATGAGACATGCACATAGACATCTGTTTGAAAGTATGTATTGTTAAGTTCTCATGCACTTAAAACAGAAAGCCACTAGACTCCGGATATCCTCGTTAAACAAGATCAATGTATCCCTATGGTAGCCTTCAGTGGAGGATTATGAGTGGGATCAGATATACTTCCATTGGGGATGAAGAAGAGGAAGATAGTGACTTCTATCCAATTCGGATTATCATTATTATTATTTTATTGGCTTGAGAAATGGGACTTGGTTTTGATCTAATGATGCTTTCAAGTTATTATAAATGGATTCTAGTAGGATCATAAAATGTTAAAAGATATGTAGTAGGGGGCTGATCCAGTAAATCCGGTGTGTGCAACGATTGTTGTTTGTAGTTTTAGTTGTAAAATCTTAATAAAATGTTCAAAAAAAAAAAGAGAGATATACTTCCATTGGCAGAATCCAACATCACAAGAGCAGTCTTCTATTTGCACAGTGACTTTATCCTTTTAATCTTCCATGCTGTAGTCCCCCAGGTCCTCCTCAAATCTGCTCTGGAGCATCCATCAACCCTTCAGTTGGCATGGAACATTCTGCGGTTAATACTGTTTAGTTTCCCCATAGTAATTAACCACAGAAAAAGAAGATATCATCTGCTTCAGACTGAAGGGAAATAGTCTTGTGACTAAACAGTGAGAGGAGTTGTGTCTGCACAAGAATTACAAGTTCACAAATAAGCCAGTTTTCTTTTACCATATTAACAAATGTAGGTAATCACACATCAGGGGCAATACATACTTGTTCTAATGGAACAACTGGTAGGGAGTGGTTGTTTTAAGTTAAATTCTGAAGAGAATATTTAAAATAATGATAGACTGGGACAATGTGAAGCATACACTTGAATAAAAGCTTGGACCCTGAATTTTCTTTGGGAGACCATTTTTCCTAAGTCCAACTTCTTTGCAATTTCATGTACCAGGCTGTTCCAGAAGGTCATCCAGAAATCCAGAGCACAAATTCCAGGAGCAGGGAATGTGTGAAAATTATCTCTCTTTTCTTTTCACCAGCAAGAATGTCTCATAAGTGCAGATCCAATCAAGAGATCTCTAAGTTCTGAGATCTTAGGGCAGCACAACATTTGTTAACTTTCCAATAAATGCCTTTCAAAGGAATGGACCCAAGAAGGAATGGTTGATTTGAAATTTAAATTTGGGAGGCAAAAGGCAGACTTTTAATACATAACAGTAGGCCACTGTTTTCATAGTGAAGTGTTTATTTTTAAAGGCACCATCCATGTGCAGGGAAAATGTGAAACCCAAGTGGAAATCATATGCAATGACTACACTCATATTTGATTGAGTGTAAGAAAACTGTTACATTCGAGGGAAGAAATTCTTTGATTTGTTCAAGTGAAATAACTCAAACTATGATTTAGTTGTGTATGAACTAGCAAAAGCTTTGCACTCACATTCAAATGCAGCTTCCTTCAGTTACTATAATGAGATCAGAAATATCCACTTCCTTTTTAAAACTAAACAGAGTTCATAGAACCATAGAATGCTAGACCTGAAAGGGCAAATAATGCCCTAACAGCCTACAACCCTCCTAGATAATTGCTTCCATAGTTGTATTGCTCTAACAGTCAGGAAGTTTTCTGGCTTCATGTAACTTGATCCCACTATTCTATGCATTGAACTCTAAGACGATCAAAAAGAAATCCTGGCCCTCTTCCGT